GGTTCTTACTTAGGGAGCTCGGACCCTTAACAGGGAGCTCGCTCTTAACAGGGAGCGGGCTCCTAGTAGGGTGCTTGCTCTTAATAGGGAACTCGGACTTAGGGAGCTCGGGTTCTTACTTAGGGAGCTCGGACCCTTAACAGGGAGCTCGCTCTTAATAGTGAGCTCGGGCTCCTAGTAGGGAGCTCGGACTCTTGGTAGGGAGCTCAGACTCAGTAGAGCGGTCTGGAGTTCGGGCTCGGTAGTGAGCTTGGACTTGCTTCCGATGTTCGCTTTCGGGCACTCTACTGTCCCGAGTTGCTTGCCTTTGCCACGTGTCGGGCGATTGCGAGGTCGGGCCAAATTTCTCTTCATCAGGTGCCACCCAATGGATTAGCTGCACTTACCCGGATACGTTTGGAAGGTAAGAAAATGAAAGGGGACAAGTTGTCTAAAAATTCAACTAAACTAAGAAGGAAAAATGAGAAAAAACGTGAGATAATGAACAACCAGTCTTGCACTCTTGCCGTCGTTAACAACCAAAGCAGAACGAGTACGTGTAACCTCCATTTCTATCTGGAAAATGGAATTCCGATTCCATGTTTATCTCCCTTAAGAAAGAAAAAATAAATCCATACAATATAATCATCTGTTATTTTCCTTTATCCATTAGATGAATCCTCCATCTTCTTCTTCTTGGCAACCAAACACACGTAATTCATTTCATACAATCATCTGTTAGTTTCTGCCTTTTTCATTGCATATGCATCAAATTGTTTTCTGGTCTATATCTCGAATGTTCTAAGTTGTAACCAACCAGAGGTCCAGACCAAAGTATAAACTGTTCTTCCTCCTAAATCCATCGCATTATTCTCAACTCAACCCAACTCGGCCAAGCTTTGGTTCCAATCTCAATTCTCAACTGTACTGTATTGGAGATTCTAGTGGATCTCATTCTCTCGAAAGGTTGCTAGTGATGCGCACTGCCTTGTGTCCAACTCCCACTTCCCCACCATAGCCATCATACATTTTATATAAAGGGTGGGTTGGGCTCGGGCCCACTGGAGACACGGAGAAAAGTAGGCAACCGTGGGCCAGACCCTTGCCCCACCCTCATTATTCGTTACACGCTTATCCAGATCCAATACTCACCATAGATTCATTCACTGATTCACACATACATCTGGGCTCTGGGCCCTCTGGCTACAAACAAAACAAATCCCAACGCCACCGATTTGGAATCTTCTGTTTGGAAGTAAATTCATTCCGAATCCGGAATCCCTGTATGATGATGCTATTGCTACTTTGCTAGCATGGTCGCCACCAGATGAGCTTTCGGGGGGGTTCAAAATCTGAATCGTGTGGCTCGTAAAAAATTTCCACGTGGGCTTGGTCATATCAATGAATATTCATCTCTGAGATGGATGGACGGATCGATCGATGTATATTCCAGAATCTCGATTCACAACTCACAAGAATCTCAGTTGGCTCATCTTAATCGATGCGTCTCGACGCATTTTGCTTTTTGCTCCGTGACGCAAAAAGAGGTCTTAATAAAGCAAGCGAGACTGCCTGAGTCGGTGTGTACTTTCAACCTTTCGCATGAACCCCGCGCGCGTCCCGCCCGCCTCCTGTGTTGGATAACGACTTGGGGTGACTCGTTCTTCTGCCTCGTTTTATCATATATTCAGTTGCTGTAGTTTTGCAGAGACGACGGAGAAAGAAGAAGAGGAAGAAGAGTGTCTCTGTGTTCTTATTAATGGAAACTACACTGTCTTACGTTCAGTCCTGTTAGTTTAATGTAGAGATATTGATTTGACCTGGGATGAGTGATTGGAGGACTTGAATGAGACGGTTTTTTTTTTTTTTTTTTAAATTCGTCTTCTGATTTCGAGTCCGTAGAAGCAGCGATAAACAGAAGAGTTTTTTTTTTTTTTTTTAAGAAACAGAGGCGGCAAGAGAAGAGATGGCGAAGGAGGAGGGGGGAAATGTTGGTGCCAAGATAAAGATTGGCGTCTGCGTCATGGAAAAGAAGGTGAAATGCGGCTCGGAGGTCCTTTTCCTTTTGCCCAGCTCGTGTACCTCCCTGTTAACAGGGGTGTTTTAGTTGTAGTTTCCGTACATTTGCCTTCGTGTTTTGCTTGCGTCCTTACTTACTACACGTGGATTTGTTTCTTCGTTTCTGCTTTGTGGTATCAGGTGTTTTCGGGTCCCATGAAGCAGATTCTTGAGAGGCTAGAGGCGTTTGGTGAATTTCAGGTATTGTTTCCTGTATCAATCAAACTCTGTTGCTTTGTTTCCTTGCCTGGTAGGCTGCTTACTGGTACAATGTCTGTTGTCGTTCTACTTTTTATTTGAAATTCAGGTTTGAATTCATTGACATTGGCTGGAATCTAGATGATTAGATCAAGGAAATAAAATTGAGATTAGTTTGTTTGTGTTGCATTATGGATCCTGGAAATGCTCAAATTCTACAGCATTTGCAACTGTTTTCTTGCTTTAATCGTTTAATTCTGAAATTACGTAGTCATTTTTTCCTCATATTTACTTTTCTATGTTTTGCAGATGATATTTTTTGGCGACAAAACTATTCTTGAGGATCCGGTAGAGAGGTATGCCTTTTTTGCATTTAACTGAAGCGAATGTATGCTTTTGATATATAAAATTTTCATGTATCTGTTTCCTTATTTATGTCAGTTACCTTCTTCCCTTTTGATGATGTGTTAGAAGGTTGTGAATATTATATTCACAACTTAGTGTTATTAGACATAGGAGACAAGTGAAACATTCCTGATGAACTTTGCTTCAATTTGCATTTTAGTAATTCCAAAAACTATAATCATCTGATCAGGAATACCCTTTTGTATGTTGGTAAATGATTCCATGTTTCCAATGTGGTACTCAGCATTGTTTTTAGAGGCTCAGTGACCAAAACTATGATGTTCGGGTTTATGATGGTGGTTAATGCAACGTAAAGTTAATACTTTCTAATGGAGGAATTTATGAGCTAAATGAGAATGGATTAATAAATGATCAAAGATGAAGCTTTAAGAGAAGCCATTATTGGAGTTAACAGATGGCAGTGCAAGAGCCACTGATCTTTAAATTTCACAAGGATATTGTACCAGTCAGTGTTAGAGGCTATCTTTTGCCTTGCTAATTTAAATAAAGGATCTTTAACTTGCATCTGAATTCTGAAGGCTAATTTGGTTATATTGAGAGACACATGTTGCACAATTTAATATGAATTCTTAGAGGTATAACCAAAAAGTAATCCCATCATGGGTATCTATGATAGGATCACTTTTTTGTAAGTTAGATCAGCTTGGAGACTTGGTGTCGTCTTTAGCTAGTTTTTGATTCTATATAGGCTATGGAACCTTTGTCCTATTCAAATTTTAATTGGTGTTTTGGATCCTTGTATCTGTGAAGGGATTTTTAGGCCTTATTGAAGGCTATCATAGACCAAGAAGGTGTAAGGTCATGCATGCTTTTCAAGAACTTCAAAAAAATGCTTGCACATATTATTCCTTTTAAAATGGATGATGACATGGTTACCAATCATATCTCAACTCCTGACATGAAAAATATGCTGGTCAATGATGATCCACCACAAGCATTTAGTCTGAAAGACTGAAACTGCTGTTCACATGAAAAGGCAAGTTTTGAGACTGTAGGAGCGCTTCAAGTAGGATTAGTTGAGACTCTAGGGCCTTCAAGGCAGATTGTCAGGCATGAACTTCACCTTGTGCTCCTTGCACCATAGTTGCACCTCTAACTTTTTAAAACATTGATGGGGACCCCATAATACAGTTTTTTACTTCTATCAACTATGTCTACTAGATCCTTTTCTTTTCACTAATCCTTGTTGTTAGAGAATAAAACCCATTCAAGGACCTCACTTAACAGCTTAAGCTTTTAGGTTCAATGGTTCTTTGAGATAGTATCAGAGCCACTTTGACCAAGTGGTCTAGTGTTCGATCCTCATTACCCCCATTATAATTAATTAAGTTTCAGCACAAGGTATGGGTGGGCCTGTGTTTGTTCACACTTCAAGCGCAATGGGCTTTCGTGTGAGGGGGCATGTTAGAGAATAAAACCTATTCAAGGACCTCACTTAACAGTTTAAGCTTTTAGGTTGAATGGTTCTTTGAGACTTGTTCTGAACTATACTAATATTCCCTGCTGACTTTGTTCCTTCCGGTCGTAACCCCTATTGCCTTCACTATTTCTACTTCACAGCCTATTTCCTTCTTTTGTAAAATTCCTATACCAATCTGCCACTTATGACCACTTTAATTCTAGCTTGCCCACCTGAAGAATACAGTCCAGACATGCAGTGACAGGTTATTTTTAGCATCACCAGTGGCCTTTCTTTATTGTATTTTGAGTGATCTCTTATCTTCTTAAGTTAACCTGGATGCCATTTAATATACTGTTAAATGTATCATGCTTTATTTTTAAGGCTTATACATTTGTGCAGTTTCTTTTTCTTTTCGTTGTACTTTTTTAGGAGTTTTCATGTTTTACTTCTTTTATAAGATAAGTTTCTCTATCTCTCAATACTCTTAACAACTTGGTTTTATTGTTTCTCTTGGGGTTGTCATGTGATCATCAACTTGAATATTGCAGCCTTCATGCTTCCTGCTGATTCTTATTTCCCTATATGGGCCTTACCCTATATATATGTGTGCGTGTAAATATGTATGTGTATATGCATTCTTTTTAACTTCAAGGCAACCTTGATCTGTGTCAATCAGTAGTTGGTTTACTTCATTAGTTTCTAATATATTCGTGTCTAGGTTATTTACTACAATATTGCTTCTTTCAGTTGGCCAATATGTGATTGCTTGATTGCTTTCTACTCATCTGGGTATCCCCTTGAAAAAGCTGAAGCATATGCTGCTTTGCGGAAGTGAGTTTTATTTTTTCATTTATTTATCAATCAATTATGTTAATTCAGATAATTCAAACTTTTCCTTTATTATTAATGAAGCTCATTTTATAAATTAATATGGTGACAAATGCTTTGTTTGGGAATTTATAATTCTCTTCTTTTACTGATTGAAGTTTAGCTTGAGGTCTCATATGATTGCAACTTTACTGCTATTAGTAAAGTTCTCTTTATTTGAAAGTTCAGGTAATTATTGGACAACAATACTTTTTTGAGGAATAACTTAAATAGTTTTTATTGGCAACAATATTTGGTAATCGGTTTCTGATTCAAGTTGGTTAAATAATGTAATGCTATAACATTTTCGTATTTCATTCTTTTGAAACTTTGAATTGTTCACATGGCATTCTATTGTAAGTAATTTCTRATTTTATGAATTTAGTTGGAATTTCAATTTCTTGTTTTTTCAAAAGGAAAACAGTAACTGAATTGATAATTGAAGCATTTATTTTGATTTTCTTTTCAATAAATAACAAGAGTAATCAAGAAAGTACAAAAAGGAAAAGAGAAGGGTGAAACACTGCATGTTAATACATACATGAGCTTGCATTTAGATCTCTTTGGGAGGTTGTTACTTATTATCATCATACTTAAAAATCAACCACTGACAGATAGAGAAGCCATTATATTAAAAGTGGTTTCATTGACATTGTCATGTATGTGGAGAAAATTTAGAGGCTGGATCCTTTTCTTTTCACCCTCTTGTCTAATTGAAATGCAAAGAAAGTCCTACAAAATAAAAGAAAAAGTGTGTCAAGTGATGCTAATGTTCTGAAAATCAAATCGCATTGTAAATTGTAGAGAAAGTTGAATTGAACTGAATTGTGAATTGTAAGATAATTTCTCTTTTTTACAAATTTGTCAAAAATTAAATATAGATATGCTAAAAGGTGAAACACATAGGAAAGTAATTTTACCCTATTTTTAATCCATATCTTCCATATATGTACCTAGAATAATAGAATTTACCACTTATACAATAGAAGCCAGTGATAATATAATCAAGTTCAACTTGAAGGTCAAATAAATTGACATACAATGGCTCTTTAACTTACATATGATGGAAAATAAACTCAGTGTATGGTCTTAAATGATGTAAATAAATCATTTTCTATTAAGGGCTTTAAAACAAATATCACTTAAAAGAATTAAATATAACAAAAAATGATAAAAGTGGAGAACTAATTCTTTATTGATTTTTTTTTATCACAGGAATCATATAAAACGGAAGATTCATAAATCAAATCATAGGATTCGGAATAAAATCATAAGATTTTTCAGAAAAAAAGGGTTCGAATTGAAACCCTTGGGGTTCATATTTCAAATTGTGAATCACATTGTAAATCATAAGATTCTGACTACATTGAGTGATGCCATGAGGCACTGAAACAAAAACAGAAGAAAAGAAGGGGTTGGTGAGAAACTCCTTTATCTATTGCAGGCTTTATTTACTTTGCTTTTGGTGATTTTGTTGATGAATCCTTTGATCTCTGTTATTGATAAAAAAGACTCCAAAGTTACTAAATTGAAAAGTGCTCGAGTGGCAAGACTCTACCACAACAGAGGAGACCATCTGCAACCCTCCAACCATATTTGATGACAAGAATAATAATAGCCTATCACTCCTCCCAATTTCCACCTTAAGCATTCCACAATAAAAACCTAGAAATAGCTCAAAGCCATGCACCAAAGACACCTCATCGAACTTACCCAAAATGTGGTTTGCAGGCCATATGGTACAATGCATGCAAAGCCAAAAAATGAGGCTACACAACACAAAAGCACAGACTATCTCTTGCAGCCCTTGGTTTTTTTTGAATTATCAGCTAGCACAGAGTACCTAGGCATCCATTTGACTGAGATGTTCAAATTTCTGTGTAGGTTAAGTGCCTGTCTCAACAGGGGTCTAACTCCATGGAATGTCTTCTGGATCTTCTGTCCAAGATATTACTGTTATGCAATCCCCTTTCACTGTCACATCAATCCAGCTATTTATAATAATCAACTTGAGACCTTGTATTAGTGCAAGAAACTCTGCCTTTGAAGAATTTCCTTCCCAACCAGACCTGAAAAGCCAAGAATAATGTTGCTATTGTGGTCTTTTATCACTCCTCAAATACCTGAGGCCCTAGGATTGCCCAAACCACAACCATTGAAATTGAACTTCAATATCCCTACATCTTTATTTTTAGTAAAAGAAAATCCCTACATCTGGTTCCTCCAATACACCTCTTTGCTGGTTCTTGCTTTAACATCCTGCTACAATTTTCCATCCTCTTAACATTTCATGATTTTCATCCATGGCATAGTAGAGTCATCAAATGTCAATGCCCGGTGTGCTATTCTTACCATTGTGGGGTCTATCAACAAACCAACTCTATTCTCCTTGTCATCAGAGTATTTTTTGTCTCCATTTGTGGAATGCAACTGGGTTCATAGATAGGGGTGAGCATTATTCGGTTAAAACCGAATAACCGAACCGAAAATTTCGGTTTCGGTTTTTTGGTTCGGTTTTTGGTTAAATCGGTTTGGTTATTTCGGTTTTTGGTTACTTCGGTTTTCGGTTTCGGTTTTTGGAATTAGAATTTTGGTTAACCGAATTAACCGAACTTTTTATTATTATATATAATATATAATATGTAATATGTAATATGTAATATGTAATATGTAATATGTAATATGTAATATGTAATATATAATATATAATATATAATATATAATATGTAATATATATTATATATTTATATATTAATATATAATTTACTGAAATTCGATTTCATAATATATATTTTATAATATTTAATATATAATATACATTATTATATATAATAAAGTATATATTATTAAAATTCGGTTTTAACCGAAATAACCGAAAACTGAACCAAAAATTTTGGTTTCGGTTATTTTGGTTTTTCTAAATTTCGGTTTCAGTTCGGTTTTTATTTTTGAAGTTGGGTTTTTAAAATTTCGGTTTATTCGGTTCGGTTTTTAACCAATTAAACCAAATGCTCACCCCTATTCATAGATCATAGTCAAAATATCCATGACATTGGGTGGAGCTGCCCAAACACACTTAAATAGAGTAAAGAAACAGTTCCACACCTGGGTAGCATGGTGACAATTCAAAAGAAGATGGTGTTTTCTCCATTCCTCAAGGAACACACACATGAGGGGATATACACCAAGTTTTTTTTTTTCTTTGGAGTCTCTCATAGTGCTTATAACCTGATTGGCTGTTTCCCAACAAAAAAATTTCACCTTTGGAGCACAAGACCACACCACAAAGCTTTGACTGGAAAATGGAACATGTCGGTTGAGGGGTAAAGGGTTTTAAAGAAGTGCAAGAGAGCTGTCTACTATGATTTGGAATCTGTACCCTCTCATCTACAACGGAAAAGTCAAAGGGAGCATCATTTATATTTTATAGTAGAGAGGCACATTCATCTGTTTTTTTGAATCTCTCAAACCCTCTTTATATCCAAATCCCAAGAAATGCCACTTTCATTCGTGGAAACCAAATCGGCAATGGAACTATTATTAAAAGTTGAGAGGTTGTAAATTCTAGGAAACATCGGGCAAAGAGGTGATTCCCCCCCACCATAGATCTTCCTAGAACTTTACCCTTGCTCCAGATATTGAATCATACCTCAAATGTTGTGAGAAAGTAGGGAGCAACCCGGGATAAATTTCCAAGGACTCTTAAGAGTGGAATTTCTGGCTAGCTCAGAGCTCCATCCATTTGAGTGTAGTCCATAGTCCAGAATTTGGACCCCCACCCCCTCAGGCTGTTTCTCTTGTGCCTCTTTCTTCAAAGACTCAGCCTTCCAGCTCGGTTGGTTTATCCTTCCCTGTTAAAGAGATTTGGTGTAAGCCAATTCCTCCTAGGGTTGGGAGTTTTTGTTGGGAAACTTTCTTACAAAGAATCAACACTTGTGATCTGCTTCAAAGAAAGAGACCCAAGATGTGTTTATCTCCTCATAGGTGTATTCTATGTAAATCTGATGGGGAAACTGGTTATCACCTGTTGGTTTCTTGCTAGCTTGCCAAGACTATTTGGGATTGGGCTTTTTCTCTTTTTGGATGTAGGTGGAATCCCCCTTTGAATGTGCAAAGTCTTTTCTCTTCTTTTTTTAGGTGGCATCTGAAGAGGGGTAGGACCATGTGGCGGTGCCTAAGAGCTGCTGTATGCTGGACATTGTGGGAAGAAAGGAATTCAAGAATTTTCTCTGAGAAAGAGAGAAACTGTGAAAGTCTGATTGAATTGATTCACTTAAGGGTGGTACATTGGTTGAAGTCCTCGGAGTTATTTACAGACTTTATAGTGGACGATTTGCTGAGGAAGTGGAAAGAGATTGCTAGTTCTGCCCATGTGAAAATGAGTCTTTGTCAGTCTTGGATCCCTCCCCCCCACTGGTTTTGTAAAGTTGAACTTTGATGGCAGCAGTAGAGGGAACCCTGGGCATTCAGGCATTGGGGGTGTATTTAGGGATGCGAATGGAATTTTTTCAGCCATGTTCTCAGGCCCAATTGGAGCAGGTGACTCTCTCAGGGCTGAGATATTTGCGGCTCTGGAAGGTGTTCAAAGGGCCAAGGAAATGAATGTTAGGAGGCTTGTAATTGAAGGGGATTTGGAGGTGGTAGTAGGGTGGTTAAGAGAAGACAAGGCTGGGTTATGGAACTGCACCAATGAATGGAAAAAAATTCAGGTGTTGGCTAAGGACATGAAAATAAGGCATGAAAATAAGGTACAACTGGGTGAAGAGATCTGCTAATTCGTTTGCAGATGGGTTAGCAAAGCAAGGGGTGACTAGGTACTCTTTATTTTGGGCTCAGTTGTAATTTTGGTTTTTTCATTTTGAGGGCTTTTGCCTTTGTTGGGGGAGTTAAGAAAGTTTATCTCCCCTCGTCTGTAATTAATTATTCTGTTTAATTAATGAAATCTTTGTTATTGATAAAAAAAA